TACTGATTAACGACTGAATTTACGACTACGAAAACAGTAGCAACTCAGTCGGTAAATGCCGACTATTTCCCGACGAAATGATTTAGCGACTAGGTGTTTTCCGACTACTCTAGTCAGTCGTCAATCAGTCGGGAAAGCCATTTAGCGACTGATTGCCGACTCATTTTGTAGTCGGAAACGACCTGTTTTCTTGTAGTGTCTCTCCAACACAAGCATATGAATACTTCGATCTCTTTACCTTTGATGCCCTAAGTGAATACTAATAACCTCTAAGTTGGCTGTAATAGGGGAAGCATGCAGGTGACTGTGTAGCCATTTCCGGGTCTTCATGAGCTGCAATCTAACGGTAGCTCCGCCCACGATGGCGTCACCTTGCTTGGCTGTTGTCCCAGGCAAAGGTTTAACAATCTAACAAAAAAAAAGAGAGCTCCATTACTCCATCCATCATTACTCATTAAACCATAACTTCAGATATCAAATTTCAAGTTAATGTGTTGTTCTAACTTCTATCCAAAGACACAAAAAAACTAAAATGATCTTCTGTACAGTAGTAAAGGAGCAAAGGAAGTACCCAGTAGCTGTTGGAATCAACACGGCTAGAAAACCAGTGACTGATTGCTGACCACTGCCGGATCCGTTCGGCACATCGTGAGAGTGCAGACGAAACTTAGTCTTCTCGTGCATCAGCTTAATCACACTTCCATATGTTATCTATCACACACCATCACAACCACCAAAGACATTAATCCCAATTCCGAATCTAAATCAAAAAGAGCACCTAATCGATACAATGTATAACACACGTCGACGCCTTCGGCGGCGGAAGCAGACGTGTAGCTGGAATCTGAATCGACGCTGAGGAAGAGTAAGAGAACGAGAGAGAAGAATCCGATAGCTATCGCGAAGAGGAGAGCGATGAACCAGTTCTGCTGATAAAAGGGAAACTCAGGGGTCGATTTCCTCGCTGAAGGAGGCGAAACAGAGGGAGGAGGAGATGGAGATGATGGTGGTTGGTTTCTTCTCGAGAGAGATCAGAACCGTCTAATTTCACCGTTTAATTAATTAGGGATACAATGGTACTTTACCTATTAAAATTAAAATGGTAAAGTTGGTTAAGATATAGCTGAAATGTGGTATGAGGAAAGTGATATTAGTCACAATTTTCCAAAGTAAATCCAAACTTGAATTAAATGCAAAGTAATTTAAACGACTATTGAAATTACAACCAGTCTCTTGTGAACAAACAATTTTTTTTTAACGTTCTTAACCCCCGCAAGTATTCTGTCCAGACGACTTTCAAGTAAGTCGTCTGGACGACTACGACTTACTTAAAAAATCGTCTAGTATAGTTCTTAAAAATAATTTAAATTTTTTGTAAAAGATATTTTGATAAGTGAAAAATTGAAATCATGTAGTTAACATATGTTTTAAGAGATATAAAATAAAATATAACAAAATTTAATTGTTTTCAACATATATGAGTGAAAGTAGTGAGTCATAATATTAGTTGGTTTAGGTTTTGCGTACATATGTTGTAGTATTATATGTGTTCTTAGGATTACATTTAGGAAAGCATAAATTTTTTTGTGAAAAATTTATAATTTACCTAAGTGTGTTTATTTCTGTGTATAGTATACACTATTTAAGTATAATTTGATTTTATAACGTGGTTAGTTAAATAATTGAGTCAATTTAGTTTAGGTTTTAGGGTCTGGACGACTTACTATTAAGTCGTCTGGTGAATATATTTATGGTAGACGACTTACTAGTAAGTCGTCTGATGTATAGTATTCAACATACGACTTACAAGTAAGTCGTCCAAACCGGACCGAACCTTTAATTTTACCAATGTACTTTTAACCTAACCGGATTATTTATCGGACATATATAAGATGTTTTTATTCACTTTTTCGCGAAATTCAGAAAACCCTAACGTCGTTTCTCTCAAAGGAAATTTCCGTTGATTTCGTCTCTAATCCATCGATCTCTCCGCCGGTTATCTCTCTGCCATTATCACCGTCGTTCTCACTACTGTTCTCACCGCCACTTTCTCTGTAAACCCTGGCGCCGTTTCGCGTCTTGTTCGCACCGCCAGTTCTCTGTAAACCCTAGTACCGTTTCTCTCAAAGGCGTATCGTTAAACTCCTCCGCCGGTAGTCTTCCTTAGCCAATCTCATGGATTCAAAGGTGAGTCTAGATAGATGAATGATGATTTATGAAAGAGTGTTGCTTAATTTAATTACTGAATATGGTTAACTAATAATCAAAGTATCTTAACTTATAATTATGGTGAGGTGTTTACTTATGTAAACACTCAAGAATAATTATTAATTATTATGTGAGGTTTATCCTGAGCCTTGGTACTTGTTCTCAATTACTAATACATAAGTATATAATTAAGTATACGAGTAAGAATCATGTGAACTCTTATCATATTCACTCCCCCTAAATCCCGCATTACCGTGACTTGGTCCTGCGAATGGAACAAGGCCATGAAGACACGATGATGGGGTAGCACCCTGGAGACCGTGTACTGCATGACGATGCAGTCTCGAATGTTCATTAGGACGTTCGAGGATGATGGTAATGCTAACTCACTAAGCTCGGTTAGCCTTTGTGGTTTATCGAGTTTAGTATATATATTGTATTTATATATGATGAAGCGATTGGCGGGTGACGTGGAAGTAATGTTTAAGATAAGATTCATATTGATTGAATGATAGGCCTTATATATATAATAGTTATGGAATATATTTTCACTGCATTCAAATGTTGTCGATTGCTCGGGATATGTATTGGGGTATGGGATTAGACTCACTGAGTAAACTAGTTACTCTTGACTCATTTGTGATGCCGGTTACCAGTAGACCGGAGACCTTACTCTAAGATGCGAAGGAATAGGTTTAGCCAGTGGTAGTTTTGTTATCCTTGCATTGGTATTTTTATAAAACCTTATGTATAATGATTGTTTTCCGATAACATCAAAGTCGACCAATAACATATGTGTAAGATGCTTTTGAAAGAATATATATAATGTATAAAGATTGTTTTTAAAGTACGGGTTCCATATGATATTAGTCCTTGTCCGAATGAACCAACTATTAGGTATTACTTTGTCGGGTTGCAAAGCCTCGGGTCGTACCTAATAGGATATGTGTGCTTAGGTGATTAGCTTAAGGTTTCTGGATTTGTTCTGGCTACTTTGGGTTAATCGTTTATATGCACATTGTGGCTTCTTTGGTTTGGTTTAAATTACTATTGATTGGCCATGCATGTTCTTGTTTGATTGTTGCATGGCCGGTCGAGTCAACTTGTACTTAGACCAGATCGGGGGTGTCACAGAGGGTGTGGTGGTATTTCTAAACCACTACACTCGACCAAATCAGTGTGCCACAAATTTGGAATGGGGGATCATTGGGCTAAGTCATGCAGAACTCCCATACAACTTGTTTACCTCTACCAAGAAAGTTAGAAAGGAAAGAATCCAGAAGCCAATTTGGTCCAAGATGGTGATGGTGACTTTGACCATGATAAATATGATCTTATGGATTATGAAACTTCTGATTGTTTAAAAGAATAACTTGATTTCGACATCAAGTTTTGTGTTTTGCTTTGCTTTCATGTTTTTATTTTTTTTCTTTGTTGCTTTGAATTTATCTTGATTGCTTTGAACTTAATAAGATGAAAGTTTTTTTCTATATATGAAATCTCTTAGATATGATTACACTAAAAAAACGCCAAGGTTGCGGGTATAAACAGTCTGATGAAGAGCTACGGCCAAGATAGTATTGAGGGCACGCATCTAGAGATATCTGATGCTTTATATTCACCCAGCCTATTGAGTTTCAAAGATATAAGAATGGTGTGGGAACCGAAATTCACCTACGGTCAATAAATCGTAAATAAGGAAACTTTTAGCAAACCCTAAGTTTCCAGAGGACCCGACTATCTGCAGAACCGCACAACGATAATTAAGAAAACGATGAACTTAAAATTAAAGTATGAATGAGCGAAATAAAGAGCAAGATGGTTTTTATTCCGAATCGGTGTAAGAACTGCTACAACGAGAGTGGCCTTAGCTGCGTGAGCCGTCGGCGAAATCCCTAACTCTAGAAGTCTAAGACCGAAAACCCTAGTTGAGACGCAGCTCGCTAATAGAAAACGGAAATATTCCTAAATGTTAAATTTAGTGGTGAAAGCTCTAAAATCGTGTCCCTGCTTCTGCCCTATGCCTCTTGCTTATATACTCCCTCCTAGGCGGTTTTAGTCTTTCCATTTCGCCCGAATTCGAGTTTATCAGGAATTTTCCATTTTTCTTGATCCTTCCTTTTTTCCTACGAAAATCTTCTATTTATCTCCAAACTTGCCATTTATCTTCAAACTTGACATTTATCTTCAAACTTGACATTTATCTTCCTTCTGCGAGTAAACCATCAAAACGTTATCGTATCTTTGGGTTAGATTTTGTTAAGATCGCGAGATGGGCTTTTATCGTGTTTTAAGACCTTTCGGGTCGTTTTACAATAAATCCATTTTACGACTTTATACGAGATCGTTTCCTGATCCGATGCCGTTTTTAGTAAATTCCCCGAGTTAATCGTAAAGTTTACCTACGTTCATTTCTTGGTTAATCGTTCCCGTTTTTTACGATTTTCTCGACGTTTTTATAAAAAACACGTTTTTATGATTTTAACGAAAAAATTTCGAATAAATCATATAATTTAGGCAATGTTTGGTGTCTCATTTAACCCTTGCCGTTTTATACGATTTCCTCGAGTTCTTTCCGAGAAAACAAAGTTTTACGGTTTTTATCGTAAAACTTGAATGATAGGTTTGATCGAGACGAAACGGGAGACATTTTGACCGTGGTTCGGAACACGGCCGTGTCGAAGGACGTAAGCACTGAATCGAGGATACGGGAGATCAAGGCTCGGGATGGTCAGTTCGACGTACGGCAAACCGAGCCGGACCGGTCCAGCTTGCCGGTCGGCAAACTGTCCGGGAAGCTTCTAGTTCGCCCAACGGCGAACTATGCCAGCTGGCTTAGTTCGCCGTTGGGCGAACTAGTCGGGGCGAGGCTAGTTCGCCCAATGGTGAACTAAGCCAGCTTGGCTTAGTTCGCCGTTGGGCGAACTAACCGGAACGAGACTAGTTCTCCCAACGACGAACTAAGCCGGCTTGGCTTAGTTCGCCGTTGGGCGAACTAGCCGGGACGAGACTAGTTCGCGGTTTACGGCGGTTTCGGTTTTTCGCGGTTTTGTAAAACGATTCTTCAAGTTTTATAAAACGATTCTCGAGTTTTATAAAACGATTCTTCGAGTTTTATAAAATGATTCTTCAAGTTTTTTAAAACGATTCTTCGAGTTTTATAAAATGATTCTTCGAGTTTTATAAAACGATTCTTCGAGTCTTATAAAACGATTCTCGAGTTTTATAAAACGATTATTCGAGTTTTATGAAACGATTCTCGAGTTTTATAAAACAATTCTTCGAGTTTTATAAAACGATTCTCTATTTTATAAAACGATTCTTCGAGTTTTATAAAACGATTCTTGAGTTTTGTAAAACGATTCTTCGAGTTTTATAAAACGATTCTCGAGTTTTATAAAAAGATTCTTCAAGTTTTATAAAATGATTCTTCGAGTTTTATAAAATGATTCTTCGAGTTTTATAAAACGATTCTTCGAGTCTTATAAAACGATTCTCGAGTTTTATAAAATGATTATTCGAGTTTTATGAAACAATTCTCGAGTTTTATAAAACGATTCTTCGAGTTTTATAAAACGATTCTCTAGTTTTATAAAACGATTCTTCAAGTTTTATAAAACGATTCTCGAGTTTTGTAAAACGATTCTTCGAGTTTTATAAAACGATTCTCGAGTTTTATAAAACGATTCTCGAGTTTTATAAAACGAATCTAGAGTTTTATAAAACGATTCTTCGAGTTTTATAAAACGATTTCTTTTATATTTTTGCGGGGAGTTTTGTCTATTGATTCCGTCGTACCGATTTTGACCCAAACAAATGGTTTCCATATTGAAACAATGGGCAAAGGAAATAAAGAGTTCTTTTAGATATATAAAATTCTCCCAAGACCATAGAAAAATGGTCGAGACTCTACCTGCATTCTCTACTGATCTTTACTATGCCAAGATCTGTATGATAGAGGCAAATGCCATGGTAAACAAAGTGTTTACCCACAAAAATTTCACTAAATGGCACAACCGACTTATGGCCATCCTTGTTCAAACATGATGAGAAAATTGATATCTAATCCAAAAGGGCACACATTGAAAGAAAGAAAGAGTTATCCCAAAGAATCTCACGTGTGTAGCATGTACACAAGGGAAACTCATTGATAGGCCATCACCAGTCAAAGTGACTAAGTACATAATAAACTGGTGAATTTATGTCCCAATCGTTTAATGATTGTTGTATGTTCATGGGGGCAAGTGTGGAACATTGGCGCATGTCCATACATAAAGCGGCTTGGCCAAATCTTTTAATAAACGTATACAGCTGATTGCTAGAGATCAAAATCCCCATTCTCATGTTGGGAACACAAAATTTTACATGCATCTGAGTTAATACGCATCAGGCCATCTAGTGAGCATAGATATTCCCCATCTCGATTATTAACTGGTCAATAGCCAAACATATCCCATCGTAAGACATTTGGATGTGCCGTCTATGTAGCAATTGCTCCACCACAGCGAACTAAGATGGGACCTCAAAGGAGGATGGGAATATATGTTGGATATGATTCTCCCACAATTATTAAGTACCTAGAGCCGACTATTGAGTGATCTATTTAAAGACCAGGTACACAGATTGCAAGTTTAATAAATCCGACTATCCAACATCAGGGGAAGAAAATAATAAGCTGGTAAAAGAAATAAGAATGGAATCAACCATCATTGTCTTGGCAAGATCCTCGAACTAAAGAATGTGAATTAGACGTCCAAAAGATTATACATTTACAAAGGCTAGCTAATCAATTGCCAGACTCATTTGCTGACCCGAAAAGAGTGACTAAGTCATATATACCAGCTTGTAATGCACCAAATTCAAATTTGAAACGTATGAAACGTGGTAAACCAATAGGTTACAAAGATAAGAATCCTCGAAAACAAAAGAAAGGTGCAGAGAATGATAATAAATCCGAGGTCGAGGAAACCATCCCAGACATAGACATGGCCGGCCGTAAGATACCATATAATGTGGCTTGGGACGCCAAGCTGAAAGGTATTAAAGGTCCTGAAATAATGAGATTGCAATCAATTATATCATGTCTGGAATACAATGGAACCAAAAGAAAAGATGTCAGCATAAGATAATTTATTTGCATACAAGGCAGTTGCATATAGTATAATAGACTAAGTTAATACTTAGTGAAAGAGGGCTATAAGAATGACCCAATCGGTCTATGTATATTTATAATGAAATTCAGCCATGTTTATTTATACTAATCAGCCCAAAGAGGGGTTGATTGAGTTTGTTGATATAGATTATCTTTCAAACCTCAGACAGGTTATTTTTACATACGGTGGGACTGCAATATCTTGGCGATCCATATCATTGCAGCAACATCAAACTGCAATATCTTAGCTATTCATGAGGCGCCGAAGGGAGTGACCGGAAGTATGTTTGGTCGAGGACCATAACCCAACATGTCTGACCAGAGTATGGAGTGGTCGATGGCAAAGAAGCACATACTGCCCATGTTTTCTTCACCCACGAGTTGCATACAAATGGCAAGGTCCAAGTACTTAAAATTTCAACACCAACCTTCAGTGAGGTTCAAATCAGGGGGAGTAATACGTGTTGTACCTTTTTTTTTCTTATCTATGGTTTTACCCGGTTTTTCGTGGAAAGGTTTTAATGAGGCAACATCCAAAGCTTATTACAAGCTCTAATGGTTATGGCATCTAAGAGGGAGTATTATAAACCATATTGTGGATTGCCCTAACAAGGCCGGATAGTCCTAACCGGCCCATAGACCAAACCACCTGGTCCTTTTCCCTTTTTCTCCATTATATTAGGTTTGTACTATTTCTTTTTCCTTATGAGTTTAGGATTTGTAATCTTTTCATATTTATTTATCTTGTAACTAGGTGATTCTCCCGTGCTCATGCACGGATATGAATATTTTATAAAAGTAAAATTTTATAATAATTGATTAATCTTTAGTTTTAATTTTGAATCAATTTATATGTATAATTTATATTAATAAATATTATATTATTCTAATTAGATATATGATTTTGGATATACTATAGTAGATTTGATTATTTTTTGAATTAGTAGCCGATTTGGTTATCAATTCGGTATATTGGATAATATCTATTTTTCGAATTCAACTATAATATTTTTATTCTAAATATAATAATTTTGAATAATTTTCTTATTTTCATTTAGGTTGGTTATTTCTTAGATATGTAAATATATTATAGTTTGACTATGTACAACTTAATATATATTGTACTTAAAATGTATTATAAGCTGAAGTGTTTGATTCAAAATTACAGAAATGAATATAACAATAATATTTTGAAGTCTCATGCATATATATAAATTTTAAAAAAGAACTAAATTACAACTGGTTAATATTTTATTTTTCTTTTTAATATGTTTTGAGTCATCCTGTAATTTATATGTATAAAAATATTATTATAAATTATATATTCTTATTGTAGTTAGATCTTTAGTTTTGGATATAAGCTAGATTAGTCGAGTCATTCATATTATAACTATACTGAGTTAAATATATTTTCAAATTAAAACTGAAGTATAATTAAATTTATTGTAGTGAAATCAGATCAAATTAGTTTTATTTATCACTTAAATGTACATACATTTTCATAATATTTATCAAATTATATGTTGATTTCTAAAAAATATTAGAAAATAAAGTGTAACAAGTAAATTTTTGGATGTTCATGAACATAGGTACTTTATTACTTTGAAAATATATTTTATGTTATTTAAAATATATATTAAAGGGAATATTACTATTTTGTAAGCTTTCCTTTTTAATAAAATCATATTATATACATAGATTTTTTGTTTTTTAAATTTTTTCAAAAACTTTATAAATGTTTCATTTTTATTATGTATGTTATTTGGAAAAAGTAAATAAAAAATAATAATCTTTAAATGTAAAAATTCACAAAGGGTATCTATGTAATCAACCAATGCGAGAGTTAACGTTAGTGCGACACGTAAGAATCTGACTTCTCAAATAATATTATAGAGTTCCCTATATAAATGTACCTTATGTTATGAATGTATGTTATGAATGAAAGACACAACTTTCTTCTAAAGTTTTGCAACATATTGCGATTTATCTATTAATTTCAGTTCTAATAAATCTTTTAAAATAAGATAAAATAGATGAAGTTAGCGATCCAAATCATTGTTATCTTTTATATAAACTCAATCAATCTCGACATTACAAAACAATTCAACTCAATAATTCAAACATTTGGATTGTAGAACCAGACCGATCTTCCATTTCTTTCTTGAACCGGTCTTGAATTCGTCTCATACCCCTATATTCAGATTAATAACATGATTAGTAATACGTAATTTCAATATTAGCTAATGAAATCACATTAGCAATTTAGAGTACTTACATCGTCAACGGCACTCCTCAGAGCTGCAATTTGTTCCGTTGATATTGTGTTCACCTATATATACAACTTATTTAATTACCAACATTGCATTTTGTTAAGAATAAAGATAGTCGTTTAATAACACACAAAGATATATACCCTTTTGACAACGGTCCAAATAACACCTTCAGTGCATGGAGGAACAGTAAGAGAGCCAATGTATCTATAGAATTTTTTGGTTTGAAATCTAATAGTTCTTGGATCCACGATCCCTAGATCCTTCTCTTCTTTCCCAACTGTTTTGATTCCATCTAGTAGCTGAATTTAAATTAAAATAAAAATTCTATAAAAATGTCGTTAAATACACAATCTTTCATATAAATAAACATTGATTATTATACGTACCCTTGTGAGGAATTCATTAGGTTTGCCTAATTTATAAAGAACTCCAATCACTGCGGTTTTGCCTTCAGCACTCGTGTGAACCATGTGAAGCTCCATGTCATAACTGTAACACAATTACATATAAAATAAAATAAAATAAAATGATCAGGTTCCGGCGAAGAAGGTCCATTAGTTAAGAAGACTTAAGACATTAAACACAAACCGAGTTCCGTTAACGGTATGCTCAGACGGTGAATGCCAATGGCATTGCACCAATTTATACTCCGTACGACGTATCGTTATTTTCCCAGCATCTCCTTTCCACGATACCTTTCATTATTTCATTATTATTATAATACATATGTGTAGTATAATGATAATATATAGGTAAACAAAATGTTACCATAACGTCATGTCCTCTGTTCACAATTACAGCCGGGGCTGGTTTATATTGTCTTCTCCATGCTTCATCACGAATAATACTAACTCTGGAGTTAGTGAGATCGATCGGAGATTGTAATTTTCCAGTGTTACAAACTTGCCATTGAGGATTTACTTTGCCCCATCCCTCTGGTCCTTTATCTTGATGTTGCTCGTACGTAAATGGTGTTTCATCGCCTATTTTCAAATTATAATCATATATTAAGTATTTGAATTTTGATACAATGTGAAAACTTGATTTTGCTAAAGGAAATAAGCGTACCGACTTCAGCGTCACTGGCGAGGGAAATATTAGGGAAAGATAAATAGAGGAAAACCAATGCGAAAGAGATAATTGTTTTTGCATTCGGATCCATTTGTGTTCTTTCTTTTGAGAGTTGATCTTTTCTTAATGCTTATTATGTTCTTGAGTATGTTTTGGAGATTATATAAGTGTTTGGAGAGAACCTAATTATAAAGGGCTTTCGTGGCTTGTTTTTTTATTTTTTGTTGTTTTATGGTTTTTATAGTTGTTGGGATTATTAGTTAATAATTTGTGGTGTGAATTGCAAAATAAATAAATAAATTAAAAGACAGTTCATTTGGATCCATATGGTTATTCTAATTTCGGTTTCAATAGTAAGCAAATCGATGTAAACTTTTTTGACAGAGAAGATAATAGAATTTAAACTTGCGCATAAGAGAATATGCTCATTGCTCAGTGCTGAATATACAGAATTTTAACTGCCAAACTATATATAATGTTACAGATAGCACATGCTAAGTCGTTCAACCAATTTTTATAACTGCCAAACTAATTATGAAAAGAACAGATATCATATAAAAAATACATAGTACGCATTGCTCATAATGAAACATCATTTGCACATTACAAGATAAATTCAAGAAAAGGAACAATAAAACAGAACGAAAAACAAGAAAAAAGCTGTTAAAAGGGTACACATTACTACATTAGGGAGACTATTAGTTGACACTGTTCACAAGTTTTTTGAGACTCTCAGAAATTCTACTTATAGCTCCAAAATCACAATCTTCCACCTATACGTAAATTATAAAGAAATTAATTAGCACTCAAAAAGATCAAAGATATCTCTATACATATCACCAATAATCATCTAGTAAAACAACTTACAATTTGTTGGGACCAATTATTTTAGTACTTTGAGTGCATCTACTTATCACTCAAAATAAAATATAATATGTAACCACTTCTCAATCGGTTTCTAATGAATAAAACGTGTGTTTTTACCAAGTTGTACATATTAGTTCAGTGGCCTAACTTTACTTCTATTCCCATCGCCTGAATAGTGAATACTGTATGGATTAAACCGAACTTTAACATGGTAATAACAACGTTTGATCTCAAGATCGACAAAAAACTTCTTTCATATAATATACCTTGCAATCAAGAGTGTGGAAGACGGCATCATCAACAATTGAATATCCAGCATGAGTGATCTCAGCTCCTAATTCCTCTGTGAGAATACGAATGATCTCATGGAAAATAAACTTATGTTCCAAGTTTGTCACAAGAGAGATGTGAAGAATGGAACCGGTTTCTTGAATCTCGATCCTTGGCAACCATTTAGGCACGGAGACATCGACACTCGAAGACATGGATGAAGATCCTGTGGAATTCAGTTTGTCCAAAGCTGCGGTCGCAACAAGCTTCCTCTTCCTTTCTCTCTTTTTCTCCACGTTCACTTGTAGCTCCTTGATGTAGTTTTCAGCTTCATCTAGCTGATCAGGTAGTGGTAGAGGCTCCTAACCATTAAACAAGAAAAGGGTTTTATATATTAGACATGGATTCACATATTATATATGCATAATATCAAAGGACAAAGAAGAAGAAACCCTAGAAGTTTGGGGAAGAAGAGAGTTGAGTTCTGAGTAAAGAGCTTCCATCTGAATCCTTCTATTTCTCTCAAATCGCTTTGAGATCTAAAGGTCTTGATTGACTTATGTTTGAATGGCTCTGATCCACACTCCTGTTTTTTTTTTTCTTGAAGTATTTCTCATAAGCAATGAAACTCAATATTAACCACATTTATATAAAGAAAGGAATGAGTTGGTTTAAGTCACATTTGTTCTACCTTATGATAGTTATTTTGTGATAAGTATAACAGTTTAGTGAAAAAGGTGTGTAAAGGACGGAGGGTATACCGACAAAATATAAAAGATAATGAAACAAGACGAGACAAAAAAAGTAAATATGATTCTTGACTTGTTATAGTTTTTTTTTTTTGTCATAGTTAATATTTTTACTTTTTAGTTATTCATATACATTTATATGCCAATGGGTTACCGACGTAACTAACAACATTAGTTAATTTTTTAGTCCATTCAAAATTAACATAAATCATATAGGTTATATTATTAAATTTCATTTAGAATAAAATGATAATAAAAATTTACACATAATTAATTAACATGTACTACACAGTCTACACACATATAACTAAGATAAAAATTACATATAAATAGTTATCAGTTATCGTACTTGCATTTACTTGCTTATGTACGTAACATGTTTTATTTGTTATCTATATTATTAAAAGAGAAGTACCCATATAAAATACCCCTAAATTTTTCTAATTATTTACAAGTTATGTCACTGAAGTTATTAATTACCCTACCTTATAGGATTCTTTGTCTTTTCACTTTAATTAATGTATTTTTAAAATCAAATTTTAACTAAAAAAAATTATGGCAACAATAATTAATGAAAATAATTATTTTCATATATACCTTTCGTAATTAAATAAATAAATTATATATAAATTGTTTTACTAATTCCATATACATAATAATTAATTCTAATATTAATTAACCTACCTTTTAGGATTTTTTTTCTTATTAATTAGCTACATATCTTTAAATAGTTAATGAACAATATTTTTTTCAAAGATATATAATTATATTTTTATTATTTATAAGTAATAACTAAAATAAAAGTCACAAAATAAATATTTATATAATATATAATAAAAAGATTACTATAAACATATCATGTTATGTATATTTTTATATAAATAATAGTTCAAGGTAAATTCAGAATAATAAAAGTTAAAAAGTAGAAATATATAGGACCATATATTTTAAATAGTAAATAAAACAATTTAGTTATACATTATCATAAAATTTTGATCCATAAAAATAAAATAAAAACACTTGTGCAGATATACGGGTCATATTTTAAAAATAAGTATGACACAATGATAGTTTATAAGATAAAATAAAATTACTCAATATAAACTATAAAATTGTGTATTTAAAATATCATTTTAAACAATTCTTTAAACAGGTAAATTTAGAAATATATATTATCACTTATAAAATATATAAAAACAAACACTTGCGCGGATCAAACAGCAAACTTTTCGGTATTCTTCTATCAAAATTAAACCCATAAGTAATTTGTTACCATTTAATTAATACTTCATTTTTTATTTTACATCATTTAGTATAAACCTAAAAATTAAAAGAAAACAAAACACCCGCCCGGTCGGGCGGGTTATGGTCTAGTTAGTATTATTTTTAAACCAAAAGTTGAAAAAATCCATGCATTACTTCCTCTGTAATACATAATCCATGTTTGAGTATTGTATGTAATCTTAGGGTTAGATTGAAAACTTCCGCCGAGGTTGTTTACATTGGTATGTAATCTTAGGCATATACATAAAAGGAAAATTAGTTATAGCGTTTGACTTCCTATGTTAGTTATCCAGAAAGTCGTCTGAGTAGTTATCTCACTTCCTGGAAGTCGTCTGCTAGTCTTCTATAGTATTTAGAATAGTGCGCTACCTTTGTGGTTGAGATGGTTGTTTGTGATTGTTTGCAGGCCTTAAAATGGATATATCAGAACTGCCGCCAAGGTTGTTTACATTAGGAGAAGAGCCCCCTGCACTGAGGAGCATTTCGTATCATTCTGATGATAAGAAGTTGTTTCAAGCTCTATCTGATAATCTCAGACCTGAGGAATATGAGTATCTGAAAGCGTCAAAGTTGGGAATATTCATCAAGTTCAAGGAGCTTGGCTTTGTTTGGACTTCAAGGCTTGTACATTTTATTCTCTCCTTCCAGCTGTACATCAAGAAGAAGTTTGAGCTCTGGACTCTTGCCGGACCAGAACCTTTGAGGTTTTCAATTCTAGAGTTTGAAAACCTCACAGTCTGAACTGCGACTACATCCCGAATTTGGAAAATCCAAGGTGTGAGATTTCTCAAGAGATGACTGCTTTCTGGGAGAAGATGGGTGTTGATCCCCATGCTGGGCCAAGCATTGAACAGTTAAGAACAGCATTTACCAAGTGTGACGGGTGGTCTCGGGATGATCGAATGCGGCTGGGATACCTTGCCATCTACGCAGGATAAATTGAAGCCAGAAAGTTCTCTTCTCCTACACGGGCTAGTCTTGCAAGGCTGGTCATGGACTTGGAAAGATTTGAGAATTACCCATGGGGAAGAGTGGCGTTCAAGGTTCTAATGGATTATTTGAAGGAAAAAGACTTGACGCAAACAGGTTACACCGTTGATGGGTTTGTACAGGTTCTCCAGGTGTGGGCGTACGAAGCTATGCCAGAATTGGGTGCCAATTATGGCTCTCCTGTGTCAAGCAGACCGTCTCTACCGTTGCTTGCTTACAAGGGTGGCCTATGACAACGCAGATGTTTCAAGGACGCCATCGGCAGACAGGTACTTAACTTCACTCCCAGACGTCCCGGACGACTTTCAGACGACTTAAAGTTAAGTCGTCTGAAAGTCGTCCAGAAAAAGACTTCACAGACGACTTAAAGTTAAGTCGTCTGAAAGTCGTCCAACAATCACTCCCGGACGACTTTCAGACACTTGAAGTTAAGTCGTGTGAAAGACGTCTAAGTCGTCTGAAAGTCGTCTAACAACAAACTTCTCAGACGACTTAAAGTTAAGTCGTCTGAAAGTCGTCCTACAAAATTTTTTTGTTGGACGACTTTCAGACGACTTAACTTTAAGTCGTCTGAGAAGTTTTTTGTTAGAAGACTTTCGAACGACTTAACTTTAAGTCGTCCATCCTAATCCGTCAAATACCTAAGTTTATATGTTTTATTTACTGCAGAGAGACGTGAACAACTTTGTTCGAAAGGACCTTGAAGACATGTTTCCAAAATGGGACGGAGACAGAGATGACCCTGCCGCGGGCAACATAATTAAAGCCATGTTTGTTCCTGGATGGAAGTGGACCATGGACTGCTGGCAAGTCCCCGGTACTCAGAAGGTTGGTGTGAAGCGGTACTCAGAAGGTTGGTGTGAAGCTTGAGAGTGTTGTGAAGATTGAGATTTGTGTGAAGGTTGAGAGTTGTGTGAAGGAGGAGAGTGGTGTGAAGGAGGAGAGTAGCAGACCTTGGAAGAAAGCTCGTAAAGAGTCGCATGTTGAAGCTGAGTCTTTTACGAAAAAGCATCTTCAAAAAGCCTTGAAGAACATATCTGATGCCATGAAGGATGGGTTTGATAGGTGCCTTAGGGAGATACAGTTGGTGGGGTCTAGGGTGGGAGCTTTGGAGAAGAAGGTGGGAGATCTGGAGAAGATGGTGGGTAATACTTCAGCAAATCCAGAAAAACCCAGGGTTAGTACCAGAATCACTATGCAACGTGTTAAGAAGAGGACAAAATAGGCTTGTGTGTAGAGTTTTTAACCATTGTATCCTTTGCTTCGGAACCTTTGTGGTTTGTTTCAAATGTGTGAATTTCCTTTGTGACTTTGTTTCTTGTGTGCTGTTTTTAAATACATTTTGTATATCGACATTAAAGAGTGAAAGTGTGAATGGGGAGAAAGAAAAGAGTCATACTCCCTCGAAAGAGCTGGTGGTGAAGGAAAATGTAGAGGACCCGAGTGGTGAAGCCAGTCTTCTCGTCTTGGACAAACAAGAACCCACTGCCGAAGATTTAGAGCAAGCGGAAGCTAGGAGGCAGACAAAGAAGGAAGCATAAAAGGTGAAACTCCGTGCAAAAAGTGAGCGAGATCGGAAACTTGCTCCCACTCAACAAACTCCTTTCAAGGGAAACAGCACTGTCAAACCGATCATTCCAAACAAAATTGTTGGCAAAGGTTATGATCCTTTTGCTGAAGTTGACAAGAAGAAGTCGGATGAACTCACTACATGGCTCCAAACTGATCCGTAAGTCGCTTTAATATCCTATGAACTGCCTCTGGAAAAAATGATTGATTATTTTGTGTTTCAGGGCATATAAACGGCCTCTGGACAAAAAACCACGAAAATGTCCAAGTCGGTTTTATCATGTCATCCGAACCCCCTTAGAATGGTTCACCGACCATGTAAGTCTTCTATTTTCTTACTTATAAGTAACTCCAACTAAGTCGTCTGAAAGTCGTCTGTGAAGTCTTTTTCTGGACGACTTTCAGACGACNGGCATATAAACGGCCTCTGGACAAAAAACCACGAAAATGTCCAAGTCGGTTTTATCATGTCATCCGAACCCCCTTAGAATGGTTCACCGACCATGTAAGTCTTCTATTTTCTTACTTATAAGTAACTCCAACTAAGTCGTCTGAAAGTCGTCTGTGAAGTCTTTTTCTGGACGACTTTCAGACGACTTAACTTTAAGTCATCTGTGAAGTCTTCTATCTGGACGACTTTCAGACGACTTAGACTGATTAGAATGGTTCACCGACCATGTAAGTCTTCTATTTTCTTACTTATAAGTAACTCCAACTAATTCGTCTGAAAGTCGTCTGAAAGTCGTCTGTGAAGTCTTCTCTCTGGACGACTTTCAGACGACTTAACTTTAAGTCGTCTGTGAAGTTTTCTCTCTGGACGACTTGCAGACCACTTAACTTTAAGTCGTCTGTGAAGTCTTCTTTCTGGACAACTTTCAGACGACTTAACTTTAAGTCGTCTGTGAAGTCTT